CTCTGGGGGATTCCTATGTAGCAATCCAAATAGCAGCAGGACTGGCTTTGGCATGACTTGCTTTGATGAATGGCAAGAAGTGGCTGCTAGGGAGGTTCAGCCAAAGACACAGCTGCTACTCTGATGCTCTCTCAAGGCAAGGGCTTCAACCCATTTGCACTAGCCTTTAGGCTGGAAATACAAACTGACCACTCAGATTGGGAGGTTGCAACCACTGAATGATTTAAACATGCATAAGCCAGCTGGTGCTTCCAAGCAAGATGAGACCAGTGGACAAGATGAAGCAGAGGGGCTTACTGCATCATCTGTCCTGAGGGCTGCTTTGGCCCCTGGATGAAGCCAGAGTAGCCATGAGGCTGCTCTAATTGTCGCTGTGGAAATTGTAGTGCCAGTGGCTATTCTGGCTGCACCAGCTGTGGTGCCTCCTCACAGGCCTGCTGTGCTAGGGCTCCAGGTGGAAAGGTGACTCAGTCTGTGTGGCTGCTGGTTCCCTTTACGCCAGGAAAATTCCCTAGAGGGCCCCATCAGGTAGTTTTGTAGCTCCACTGAACCTAGCCCCCTGTTGCAAACCCAGCAAGGTTTCTAATCCAACTGCTGGCAACTCCTGTTCTCGCTGGAATTTAAACACATCCACATCTTGTTATTGTGGGTTAGGTTTTGTGCAGTCTCCAGCCTGGACCTCAACCTTTAAACAGTGAAGTAATTTGATGTGAGAGGGGGAAAAACACAGGCCAGCCCTTGCCACTTCTAAAGCTGCTTAAAATTCCTCCCGCTCCAAAACAAGGCAGCAGCCCCATTTGTTTAAGCCCCTCTGTAAACAATTCATTCCTGGAGCAGAGACAATTAGGGCTGTAACAGGCCTTCCTGTCAGTGGGTCGGAGTTAACCCAGCATCCCCAGGGACAGGGCGGTTATCCTAATGGAAATGCTGATGGAGCCTTAACTCTGTAATGAGGCTGGTTTTATTTTGGGCTGTGTTTTTCACAGCAAGCCCTGGAGGGAATTGTGTATGTGAGCATGTAAGCACTGGGTATTGCTGGGCTGCTCTCTAATGGACTGGATCAGAATAAACCAGCAACTGAGTCTCCTCCAGGCCTCGAGCAGATGATGGCCCTGCAGCCCTGGGAGCATTGATGCAGGTTTTGGTCTCTGCTCAGGTTTCTTCCTCAGGCAAACAGTGCGTGCAGGAGACGGGAGCTTGTTAATGGCTATTTGTTGCCCGCAGCTCTGAGCTGGAGTTGGAAAGGCAGCCCCATCTCAGCGAGCGAGAGCTGACAGGTCAGGGGGATGTTACTTTCTCCTTGCTGGAGTGTGAGGTCCCCCTCTGGGTTTCCATCCAGAGCACAGCTTTTGTGTCAGGCTGGACGGAGCAGGGCGCCTAGAAGCTGCAGAATCAAGGGAGGCGATACTACTACTACTACACCTCGACTATTGTCTGAGGAGAGGCAGCAAAAGGGTTAATGCTGTCTCTGAGGCAGGAGGAGAGACTCTGCTGCCTCTGCCTGGAGCACAGGAGTTTGCTGGGCCAGGTCATCTGCAGGCCCTTAATTAACAAACCCTTATAAGAGGGCAGGGCAGGATGGCTGTGGCTGTGGCAAGGGCTGGGGGAGGACTGGAGTGTGGGGTGGATTTGGTGATTTGAGTTTGGATCTGGGGCAGCAACTGGTCACAGTGGTACTGTAGCTCCTTGCTGTAGGCTCTGCTGTTGTACTTATGCCTGCTCCTCCAAGGGGCACAGCAGTCCTTGTGCTACCTATCCTCCTACATGGTCTAGCTGGCTGCTGAGGTGCTGGGGGGCTGCACTGCCACCTCAGCCTTTTGCTGGGGGGTGGTGAATTTCACACAGTGACTGTGGTGCACAGAGAGAGCTATGTTGCTTTGGGCCTTGGGGGACAGGACCCTGGGCTGGGACTCAGGAAACCTGGCTTCCATTTCTGGCTCTGCCTTTCTTGGGTAACCTGGGGCATGTCACTTTACCTTGTACTTCATCTTCCCCCTCTCTAAAATGGAGCTAACAGCACTGCCATCTCTAGTTGCTGTGAGATCTGCTGGTGACCAGCACTCTAGGAGATTCTGGGATTTTTCTTGTTTTCTCCAAGATACCAAGCAAGGGACAGGTGAAGGGTCTTGCCTGTTCACACAGCAAGTCTGTTACAAAGTTAGGGAGTGACCCCAGAAGCCCTGGCTCCCATTCCCCTCCTTTAACCATACACATTTACGTACCCTTCCCAGAATTAATTTTACCCTGGAGAGTCCAGGATTTTACCTGGGGCTGTGTCATACTCGGTACCTCTAGGAATCCAGACCAAAGCATGTGTGTGCATATATTTAACGTGTGCATAAATAAATATTGCATAATTATTCCTTGCTCTGCTGAGGAATATGATGAGCGTCAAGGTTGTATACGAGGGTGCAGAGATTCTCCCACTTGCAACACAACATAGGAGAATGAGTCTTCTTGTGAAAGCACCGTTGGAGGGACCAAGAATTCTTCAGGCAGCCTGAAGCAGCCTGGCTTAGTTTGGCATCTCTAAAGGAGCCTCCCTGGGGACCTGCTACCAGACACCAGCCCCCTGTATCCTGTGACACTGTAATGAGAGCCCCTGTACCAGGGCTCCATGCTCCTGGGACTCTGCTGGCAAGGTACTCCAGCACTCTGTGCTCATGGTACAGGTCAGCGCTATTGCCTTACTCCATTAAGAACCAGGCTCAGGCTTGACCAAGGGCAAAGAAGCAAGTTGATGACAGAATGGAGCACAGAGCCCAGGAGCTCTGAGTCCCACTCCCTGGTCCTACTACCAGTCTCCACTCCTCCAGGAGTCCAGCATCCCCTTTCCCCCAACCTGTACTCATCACTACTAGACTCTACTGCTTGAAAAACAAGATACCACCCTGTTTCATCCCTCCCCCACCAAGGGAGAGACAGTTCTGGCTGGAAGTCTGTTGTTTGCTCTTGGTGGGTTGCTCTGCTGTGGGGCAGAGTTTATCAGGGCGCAGAGGTGTGCACTGGCCTGGCTCAGGCAGGCTTGTTGTGTCAATAGTCTTCAGGAGCAAGAATGCAAGAAGAGAGCGGCCTTGGACTTTCCAAGCACTGAGCCTGCTGCAATGCTGGGCCCAGGCCAGCCCCATACCCACACAAGCCTGAAGCATTGTGTACGTTGTAGTATCCTGCCTGGCTCTCACAGAGCAGCCCCAGCCCTTTACAGACCTAGAGGCTGGAAAACGGTGTAATGCTCCCATCATGTGGCTATGGTGGGCATTGCAAGCGGAAGACAAAAAACAGATGTACCCCCTTCACTTGCCATCCAAAGAGATGTTTTCTTCTCTCTTGAAAGCGCAACTCTATGTTAGGGGTCAGTGGAGAAACTGCAAAAGTCACACAACTGCCTCTGCTCAAGTACTTCCTTGCCCTTTGCCCTGCTTTGGCACTCCCAGCAACTAACAACTTTGCAGCTAGAGCTAGGTCCCACCAGTTTTCCTTGACTGCCAAGAGACTTCTTCCTGAAGTCATAGACTTTACCATTTTCTTTGTCTTCCTTACACTTGGGCTTGTATCTCACTTGGAAAGGGAGCTCCCAACACCAGTCAGGAAGGTACTGGGAAGTTCCCCCCACCTCCCAGCTTGCTGATGTACAGTGACCCCTGTTATTCTAGCCCTGGGATCCCACAGCCCCTACCAGTACCCTCTCCTGTCCCCCAGTCCTGCTCCACAGCTACCTCTTTCATTCCAGTCCTACATTTCCTCTATACCTTGACTAATACTCTCTTCAACCCTGCCCAAGAGCTCACCCTGGGACCCCTCTCTTTCAGAGTTCCCCGAGTTTTTCAGTGTAAATGCTCTAATGGTTTGGTGACATGGGTCAGTAACCCACAGAGGCTAAACCAGCACCAGTGCTCTCTTTTCACTTGCTCTTACCCCCTCTGACTGTGTTTACACCCAGGTCCCTGAGGGCAGAGGTAATGCCCTGGCTCATAAATAATTACTGCTCCACTTGTTTCCCCTGTACTGGTTCCAAGCCTAGCAGGCCTGAGGTAATCACCCTACACCTTGGTTACATGAACCAACATCTGTGACAGAACAAAACCACTCAGAGGTCATTGCCACTGCCCATACTTAGTCCACAAAAAGGGAGATGGGGGATATACACTTGCCTAATGTGTGCAGAGGGAACCCTGCTCCCTTCTCTTTCC